AATCCTCAAGCTGCAGTCAACTCCCACGGGCGCCCCTTAAGACAACTTTCCCTTAAAATTCTGCAGGGGTTTCCACCCGCGTCCCCAATAACAATCGCATGCCAAATTCCTAGAAACTTCTCCAAAGAGATATTTGCAGGTGGCCGACCCAGCTAACTCATCTTTAGCTCCTTCATTTCTTTGAAAGGCTTGGCTTTCCCCTGTAACCATTCCACATGGTGGGGATGGTATGAATAGGGTTAATAATCATAATCGTCATCATAATGCAGTTGTTAATAAGATCTGGTATTAGATGACCAAGGTCCACTTCTGATGTAGCAAACTAGAGGAATATGGACAGTTTAGGACTATGCTGAAAGGAAAAGGCCGTGTTTTTAACTTCGTGGCCATTCAAACAAACTCTTCTAGGGCAAATATAGGTGTATAAATGTGATTATTCCATCTTTTCCTTGGCCATTATTTTATCAGCCAGGCCAAATTAAATAACAACTGCTGCTGTTTCTACAGTAATGCTGTTTCTACTAAAATATAATTATAACTACTATCCTACAGGAATTGTGTTTTGGGGTATTTGGGGATGATTCTGGTGAAGGAATCCAGAGACGTAAATTGCCAAAGATGACGCTTGCCCACACCCTGGCTGGCCAGAGTCCCAGGCATGCTTTCTTGGAAGCAAGCCTTGTGGATCTTGGGGTGCTTCCTTTTGAGTAGACCTGCTATTGAACATGAATCATCGAGAGCAGGGAAGAGGAACGAAAATATTTGGAGCCCTTTCAGAAGCTCATCCCTGTCTCCTTTCATCTGGCTTCCCTTTCCCTGGCGTGGACGCCGGCTGAGGCATGGGGAATTGGGATCTTTGGGGAACTCCGTCCAGCTCCGAGCGGAATCGTAATTTCTGCTCTTCTGTCCCAGGTCCGTTGGCTTCTCCATCTGGATTTTTGCCTCTGTTTCTGTCCCCCGAAGTCGCTGGCTAATAATAAACGGAGGGCTGTGGGACAGAAGCCCAAAACAACTCGAGCGATTCGATTTGAGCAGAAGCCCGGCCTTGTCTTGAATGGGAATGAAGAGCGATTGGTCCCTCCAGCCATTTCCGAACTGGAGTTTGCCCCCTTTTCTTCCCCCTTAGAAACACAGCCCTGGGGATGATGGGCTCGGGCTCTGTTTGCGAGTCGTATTTTCTCGCTTTCACACTTTCCCCCCTTTCTCTCCTCGCTGCTTGCCTCCCCTCCTCCAGGCTCCGATTGCCAGCACCAGGCGGTTTGTGAGGGGTGCCAACGACCCATCTCTGACCGCTTCCTGATGCGGGTCAACGAGTCCTCCTGGCATGAAGAATGCTTGCAGTGCGCCGTCTGCCACCAGGCACTGACCACCAGCTGTTACTTCCGAGACCGCAAACTTTACTGCAAGCAAGACTATCAACAGTGAGATATTTGCACATTCCTTTTTTCCCTTCACCCCAAACCCTTCCGTTTTAGCCGCTGGAACTCCTCCCCACTGCCTTCCCCGCTTGAGCTGATCTCAT